ATTGTATATCAATGATTTGTCGACAAGCCTTGACCAGACTATATTCTGCTCAATTTAATCTGACGACACCAACCCTTTTTGCTACAGTTGCCCTGATCTGAAGCAGAGCGCTTTAAATGCCGTAGAAGGATGGTCCAAAAGATGGGAGGTCGACACTTCCACTGAAAAAACCTTCAATCTGGCAGTGGGGCTAGACACCCCAATGGCAGGTGTGACTTACACTGCCCAGTTAAAATTCCAGAAGTACATATGAAACATGACTTTTGCTGCTCACACCAGAGGCAATTGCATACTACGCGCATAAACCATAAACCATAAATGTCAAAACGCTCTTTGGCCTCTTCGTTACCTATCTGCGGCCTCTGCTGGAATATTGTGCTCCTCTATGGTCTCCCCACAAGAAAGCCGAAACTGGTGCCTAAAAAAGGTTCAACGGTCCTTCACGTCTAGAATCCTTGCCCGGGTTGGAATGTTCCGGCTGTCATAAAAAGCAAGCTTCTACAGACAGCTGCAACCTCTCATTGGTTTAGAAGAGTGATATACCGCCAAGATCTGGCTTACAAAATTATGACTAGAAGATTTGAGCTAGGAATACAAGGTTTTTTAGAATGTCAAATTTTAACGACCCTACTAGACAAACAAATTATTCAGGCTTGTAGTAGGGAAAGTTCGGGATAAGCAGCTCTTTACTCCTTCTTAGTACGTGTAATCAAAACTTGGGATGGCCTCCCTGTGGAAGCTTTCACTGCAAGTAAAATCGAAAATATGAAATCACAAGGGTCATTCTGTTTTCTTGATTGCAGGAACGCCAGAAGTCGTTGTTCTTTCTTCCTCTCAACAACAACATTTGTCGGTTTTGGTCTCTCTGTCAAGAAGAGCGAGTCTCTCGTATATGCTAGTGCCTGTCCCTTCTTTTTCTTTTTTCCTTCAAAAAACAAACTTTGAAAAGAGCCAAAAAGCCTAATATTGCTTCTTTCTACCTCGTTTCGCTTTCCCGGATGTCCCGGACGGCTATTTCTCGAGAGTTCTGTTAATTTTTCTAGTTTGTTTTTTCTTGTTTTTGCATATCTTGTTGCCATTTTGAAAATACTTTCTTAAGGGGTTATAGCCAGCTAGCCTCCGCCTGTAGGCTCGATGGTCTTCAAAAAAGGGAATATGATTTCCAAGAGGCAGCAAGATCTCCCACGACCATGAATGTCTTTTTCTTCCTCATGAGATACGAATTGTTGTCGAAAAAATACCAAATAAAAAAGTAAAAATAACTAAAAAGAGTAACGCGTACTACCTGATTACCTGATATCTACCTGATTCTTTAGAATCTTGTAATTTTAGAGTGTTATGAAAAGTAAACTTGCGCATTTGATGACCGCTTGGCAATGATAATCGCGCCTCAAGTAACCAGTAGATGGCAAAATATTTGATGGTCACAGATCAACACGACTCGAAAATTATGAGGTAAATTCTCGTTATTTCTAAGCAGTACGTTCTCAAACGTGGTTGAATTACCAAGTGAGAATTTTGTGCAGTGACACTTACCAAGAGCTTCATTCTCGTTTTACTAGTTTTACTAGTAGTTGCTTTTTGCGAAGAGTAAATAATAGGTAATGTTTCTGCGACTCTTTGTCGTATTTTCAAGTAATTCGTAAATAAATCTAAAGGAATTTTGAAACAATTTAACAACGCCTTAGAATCTCTTTTATTTAATTGCGCCGACACGATTTTTTTCTCCATAAGGAGTCTATCTTGCTAGTAACCAGCTCAAAACACCATTCTCATATAATGACGTGAGCCTCCGGTGCTCATTAATTATGAACGTGATAGTCGCGAGAGGCATTGCAATGACGATATGAACCATTTTGGTCTCTTGACTATTAGCAGTGTAACAAGAGTCTGGTCAAGAATTCGTCGAAATGGATAGGTCGCATTAATATTATGACAGACTTAATGTGAAGTAGAATCAAGCCGAGGCACCATTGAAAACGATGACATAATCCAAAAACCTAAAATTATTTTCGTTGATCTCATTTATCCCCAAAAAACGTATGAGGCTAATGACATCACAACGTCATGTTGTTTCGAACGTTGGCGAAAAAAAAATCGAAGTCTAATCCGTTGTTCACAATGCAAAACCCCGAAATCAACTATATGACCCGCATAAACTCACATAATCCTGAGAACGGCAACCCATCCCAAGACTTCCTCAACTATTTACCTATCGGTGGCTTTCTTCGACGGATTCATGTCATTTTTGTCATTCTTGTCCATTAATACACTGAACATTGACTCGCTATCCCCATCTCACTACCCTTCATTGGAAATTAGATAATTTTTTTAGACTGTTGTAACAGATTACAATATTCAGTTATGATGGAAGTCGGTGTCCCCGTTGTAGTAAGTGGTTTGGTTATTTCTAAACTTCTAGATAAAAAAGCAAGAAAATACAAATTCTCCTAGTTGGCCAATAAATATATTTCTAAGCTCTGTTTTCTGCTAAATTTTCCGTCTCGGTCCCCTTGTCACTTGATGTTGTACCACGTCGCTAAATTTCAAACAGCAAATAGTATCTTGCTGACGGGAGATCACTGTAAAGAGCATAACAAAGTAATAAACCTGGGCGCTTTTCCACTCGTAAATTTCCTTGCCCATGGCGTCACATTGTCAAAGTTCAATTATTGTAAGATGCTATTTGTGGTTGAAACGATTTTGGTATACGGTAAAGCAAAAAAAATGGGAGTAATGGTGGTGTCTAAGACCTGCAGAGCTCACGCGATTTCATCGTCGCGATTCATCGCTACAAGACAACTGTAACAATATCAATGCATGCCAATCTTCTTGTATTTCGGTCGTGACAGTTAGTCATGATTAGTCGTGTTGGAAGACTATCACAACCGAAACGCAAGAAGATCGGATGCAATGATATTGTAACGGGTGCGTAGCAAGTGGTACCCAGCCAGCCGACTGCTGCCGCAGCCAGCCGCCAGAGCTGCCAGCAAAGCCGCTGCAGATGGTACAGTAATTACGCTCGTCGTCTAGAACCAGGGCTCGGCACGAGCTGGCACCAGGGAATTTTGAAAACGAAGTCCCCTTTGAAATTTGCCAATTTTTACGAAGTCCCCCTTGACTTTTGGGAAATTTTACGAAGTCCCCTTTGATCCTCAACGATATCCCCTCTAAAATCCTAAAAAAATCCCCAAAATCCCCCAAAAAACGAAACGTCGACTAAAAAAAAAAAAAAAAAAAAAAAAAAAGGTCGTCGCCGCCAATTTTGCGTATGTCTTCGCCCACAAAAACGAAACCCCCTTTGCTTTTTGCCCCAAAAACGATATCCAGCTTGACCCGGTGCCAGCTGTGCCGAGCCCTGTCTAGAACTCTTGCCGAAAGCTCTTCTCGCGCCTCGTCGCTCTGAGGTGCGAAATCTATATTATTTTGAACGCCAGAAAATTCATGTTTTTTGAGAAACATGCAAATAAACAAAGGTAAACAGGGGAGAGACTTTTTAAAGGAATATGATGACAAATACATATCACTTCAAAAGCTTAAAGGTAGCAGAAGCTGAAAAGTTCAGAAATTTCTCAAATTCCTAGATTTTTTCTCGCTTTTACGTCGAAGAACGGAAGGGGACAATTACAGTAAAATGCCTGGATATAAGGATAAGAAACTTCTATCAAAATGACTATTTCATCATAGTGGTGTTAAGCGAGCTAAATAAGTCCAATTAGGTCATTCAAGTTGAGTAGGTCAATGATAAAAGATGAAAATATAACCAATATAACAAAATAAAAATATAATAAAATGATAACCCTTCAACAAGACCGCATTTCGAATTCTGAAGTGTTCATGGAAAAATGAATTTGTTTTTTTTTAAGAATTCTTCATTGGAAAATCAAGGATCCTTGAAACTACAGCGTCAATTGATATTTATTGTACTTTGATTTCAATATTTGTAACAGAAAAAACGTTTGAATTCCTATTCATCCATTTTTGTAATTGTTTGTGAATTTTTGGAAATTTCCCGGTGTAGTTTTGCATGCGACTTGGTTCTCAATGAAATATGGCTTTTCTCTGCTATTCAAAATAATACAGACATTGTGTTTTTTACCGCTATATCCATGACATTTTTCTGTAATTGTTCTCGTCCATTCTTCGACGTAAAAGCGAGAAGAAATCTCTAGAAGTTGAGAATTCCTAATTTTTTCAGCTTCTGCTTCCTTTCAGTCTTTGAAGTGATTTAATTTCGTGATCACTTTCTTCTAGAAAAACCCTTCTCTGATTATCTTTGTTTATTTGCATGTTTCTCAAAAACATGAAGTTTTTGCTGTTCAAAAAATATAGATATCGAGGATATCACGCTTCCATGAGGCTGACTTCGCACCTCAGAGCGACTAGGCGCGAGAAAACCTCTCGGCAAGAGTTTTAGACGACGAGCGTAATTACTGTACCATCTGCAGCGACTTTGCCGGCAGCTCTGGCGGCTGGCTGCGGAAGCAGTCGGCTGCCCGGGTACCACTTGCACGCCTCCCTATTGTAACAGTTGTCTTGTCGCGATAAATCGCGACGATGAAACCGCGTGAACTCTGAACGAGGCCTAAGACGAATGATGCTTTCATCTGACCAACGTTGGCATTACTCGGATATTCATCTGGAATAAAGATGTACTCAGAGCCATAATGCAATAATCCATCATCCCATATAACTTATTAGGACAGAATCAAAAGGAAGAAAAAAATTAGGGAATTTCAAAGCAAAACCGCTGTATGAGCTCCTTTTCAGGAAGACAGTTTATACAGTGTAAAGCTTAACTTTGCTTAACAGAGAAGATACAAATAATTCTATAAGAACAACAAAGCGAAGAAGAAAATAAACATCCTTCTATGCAGTAAAGCAACAAAGTAAACAACCCTGCAAAAAAGCCAAAATACAAATTAATACTAAAGAATTATGATTGTGTCATATACATATTGGCGTAGATCAAGCGATAAGACTGATAGCCTTTATAATCGATGTCTCCAGTCCACTCAAGACTGCTCTATAAAGTGCGTATTCCCCCTATAGCTAACATTTACACTTTTTTTGGTGATCGGTCAAACATCGATACGTTGTCATTTACAGGATGAGACGCCCAGAAAATACCGAAAAGAACGTTTTCAGTCGACCAAGGTGAAACCATACCGGGGTGAGTGCTTTTTTTCCATTACTTTTGCTCAAATAAACTCTCAACTAATTATGGATTTTGTTGCTAAAAATTTGGTTGTTATTCTCGATCCTCCTCCATCTATCTTAACTTCATAGCGTTTCTTGAGCTCTTATGTATTTACAGGCAATTTTTGATCAGCATTTGTCACAAAACGTTGGTCTATAGCTAAAATTTGAAGCATTTATAGACGACTATACTTTGAGGTGGCGCATATCTTCATCCTCGTACTCTTATTCAGGGCACAAGCGGCTTATAGGCCAGCTGAATATCGTTTTTCGGACAAAAGGCAAGGGGAGTTTCGTTTTGTGGCCGCAAAGACACAAAATTTGCGAGGTTTTTTTAGTCGACGTTTGGCTTTTTGAAGATTTTGCAGGGATTATGATTAAGGGTCAAAAATTTTATAAAAATTCGCAAAAGTCAAGGGAAACTTCGTTTTTTGCATTTTCAACTAGTCACCTCGTGCCGAGTTCTGCTCTTATTGAGTAAGTCTTCTTAACTTCAAAAAAAAAAGCTCAGACGAGCTCTCGAATTTACTGAAGATGTCTTACCCTTGATGTTAAATTCACTGGGTATAAAGATCGATTTTCAAATTCGTAAGATACTTCTACTGGGCGCGGCTGGTTTGTGAGCTTTTCGTATGTCTGAAAGCTAATTTGCCGCCTTGAATCTCTTACAAAAAGAATCAGAGAGATACCCCGCAGCGGTTATCTTTCCTGCTCTTCTTTTTTCGGCAACATAAAAATGCATAAATTTTTCACTAATTTTGAACAAAAACAGGAAAACTTGTGTTAAAGAATGCTATGCAGTCAAACAAAATTCTTTGTGTAGATTTCAAAATCGCTAGCACACACTGCACAAAAAACTGCTTGATTGTAATTTGAATGTTTTGCACAATATTTTACACGCATATAATCTATTTCCGAATTTGAACTCAACTTCATCCAAGTTCGAGAAAACGCTGATTATATTTGCGCGCCGCCCACGTGCAACTTAGCCGCGCACATCACATCATTCGGCTACCGTTGTTCTTACAATGATGCCTGATACGTTTTCACGTAAGTACCATCAATCTAGCTGGTAATTTATGGAATGGAAAAATATAATTTGGTACAGTTTTGTTTGGTACATCCTGGTTGTTCAGTCTAAAACCTTTCACTTTTTATGAGTGCAGCTACGCGAATTCATAGAACGCACTAATTGCGGACACCACACTCTTAGAAATGAAATACTATGTCGAGCGTTACTTAAGTGTATTTCCTAATTTTCCGTTGCAAGAAAAAGGGTGGGTCAAAGTCTCAAAGTCTTTCATGGGTCAAAGTCCTGTATTAAGGCGTCAGTTTTTGCACTCACCTGATTAAGCGAATTTAATGGGATATTTTAGCCCCCATTACCGATTTACTAGGCCTAAGAATATATAAGTCCGAATGTAACATGTGGTTCGGCATTAGTTTGCTTGAATGTATGCAAAGATGAAAGACCACCCCACCCCCTCCTTGCACCTCGCCTAAACTCTTCCGCTTCAGTGTGCCTGAAATGTATTCCTTGTAAAAGAAGGCTTTTGGATGAATTGTATTTAAAACAAGCAATTGCTAAAAAATCCTCGCTTAGTTATATCAATCTGTAATAACTGAACAACGTAGTCAAACTGAAGTTGCACTTCTTCATCCAACACTTTAGCAACTCCCCCCCCCCCCTCCCCATTCGTTGCTTCGTGTTGAATTAACTTGCTCATTTGTCTTGCAGAATTAACATTTTTGTATTCTGATGATTATTTCTTATTTGAATGTTTTTGTCATGCCTGCCTTTTTGTCATGTTTCTGCGCGTGACGGAAGTGGTAGTTAAGACAAGTTTTTATTCATTGTTCACATTTATTCTCTATTGGATATGACACCTGACAAAAGTGTTAAACCTTCTCAAAATTTTTTGGAGCAGAAATTGCATGCTCAAGAGTATGGAGAGTAGAAAATCTTTTTGAGAAATTTGAATAATATTTAAATTGTTTTCTGAAATTCAAAAAGAGACAATTTCCAAAATACTCATAACCCCTTAAATATACAGACTTCTGCGTTTTGAGTCTTCATAAACACACTAAAAGTGCAACAATTTGTATAAATAAGAAATTACTTCCACATGGGATTATGGTTCAACAATTTTTCATTATATAGGGTGTCCCAAAAAGATGTGCACACTGTTTGATTGTTAATAATTCTCTTGCTTTCATGTCTTTTGCCGAGCTTGAAGTACCATTCTGTAGAGAGAGGACAAACTTAGATTTACAGTATGGAGGGACTTATCAGCCGCTTTTCATTACTGTAGGATTACGGTAAGAATTTCGAGGAGGATTTTAAGCAATGGAAAGCTGTATTTAGCCTCAGAAAAAAGCCAAATAAGCCAGAAACTTTTGAACTGGGTTAATCATAGTCGCTGATTCTGAATATGAAAACTGCACATCAGTAGACTGTTTCTTTCATGAGTTATTTCAGTTTTAGGGTAACAACTGATTTTCCAATGTTCAGCAGAAATGTGAATACGCCATCAAGAAGGCTCGAAAAGTGATGGAAAGTTATGTAGTGAAATCAGAACGCCTGAAAACCTTGCTACACAATTTTTTAGATTTTCTTGAAATTATTTCATCAAAAGCCTTATTCCATAGTGATGCTATATGTTGAAAGTTCAAACCGTAATCCTACAGTAACAAAAAGAGATTGGAGTTTCGCATAATACTGTAAATTTAAGTTTATTCTCGCTCTACAAAATGGTACCTCAAGCTCGGCAAAAGACACGAAAGCAAGAGAGTTATTAACGATCAAACAGTGTGCACATCTTTTTGGGACACTCTGTATAGAGACATACAAACATTCAGCTCATGTACATGAGGATTTTCTAAGATTTTGAAGACTTTTGCAACACTCTAAGTGAGCTACCACTGTTGACATTATGATCTCCCAACTTTGGTCTACCTGCACGTTTTGCTTACCACTTTGGCAATATCCTGACTGTCATTAATCAAAACTGTAGCATGTGACATGAAGAATGACAAAAGTCCATCAATAACTTTATTTTTTTGATTGTTGCAGATCCTGGGAATTTCTTTCTCTTCCTCCCCTCTCCCCTTTTTCGCTTACTAAAACTGCATCAGACAAGCGTGCACCGGCCGCAATCACTCTTTGGTTAGCGCCAACTATTATCTTCCGTGATGATCACGATAACAATGATGAATGTGTTGGCCTTTTGATGATACGATGAAATCATAAAGCAAAACAGCGATATTGGAAGGTGTCTGCGCGATTCTTGGCAAAAACATGCAAATGTATGAAATTTTGCAAATTTTTTGGTAGAAAAATCATTTATAATATATAGAAGACAAATTTTTAGAAGTTGATATTGTATTTGTTATCATCATGTTCACTTACCCTCCTCTTGTGCGTTCCCAGCCTTGTGGCTTATACTTCGCAAAAATCAATAAAATTGATAAAGGTGATCGATACACTTGAAAATAACACTGTATTTATAATAAGCATGCTCATTTACCTTTCCTTCCTCCCCCCCACCTGTGCCAATTCCCAGCCCTGTGGTTCAAAGTCTGCAAAAAATCAATAAAATCGATATCGATTGATAACGAAGAGTAGCCTATGACACAAGCCCACCCCCGAAGTGTATGTGGGCAACGTTTGGTCTGGCTTGGTTCAGATATGGAATTTTCTGTTTGGTGCATACATACATACAGACAACAGACATCCAACTTTTTATATAAGTATCTGAAGTTTTCCTTTAACGGAATGAGCAGCCTTTTTCCATAAAATATGATCAACCAAGCTATGAATTATGTTCTTCCTAAAGCCACAGATTTTTCTGATTATGTCCTCTTTGCAAAAACTTGCATTCACTATTTCCGGTGGAAATTTACAGTCAACAGCCAGCACAGCTAGAATTTTGTCAATGACATTCCAACCAGACCCTTCCGCTATTGTACTTTAGAGTGTCGTCATGCAAGGATTGCATGATGTCCGAGAAATTCCTGACAAGTTGGCGAAACAATAAAAATGTGCAATAAATGTTGACGATCTTGTTCTGGGAGTTCAGCCTACCAAAGAAGGCTGTTTAGTCTGAAATGAAATATGACTCAATGGTTAATCTTGAATATTATAGTTTTGCGTTGGAAAGATTGTCAGGATTGTTTTGGAAAGAATAAAATATGACGACTTACATGGAATTTTTACTTGAGAATCATTCCATCTTTTCTATGACCTGGCATAGATGCAAAATGAGTTGACCAGGATCTGACCAAACTGATTTCATATGGATACCTTCTGTATAAGATTTAACCAGGCGTTTGTTGAGAAGTCTCAAAGATTCGGCTCTCCGAAACTAAAACTTTCAAATCTCTCTCCTTTTTATTTCTCACTTAGGCTTGACCACAATTAACGGTGGGGGTTTTTGGAGTGTTTTTTCCATGGAAACCTCTCATCAATCTTCTCTCTAGTTTTTTCGCTTCTAAATTTCGGCTTTTACTGACTGCTATTCTATGGGGGAGGCCCTTAGGTTACTTAAAAAAGTTAGTTAGTAAGTGTATTTTACTATCACTCATCATTCTAATTGGTGAACATAGCTACATTTGGTGTAATTTGAAACAGATTTTTACTGGCTACTTGTTAATCACTGCAGAACGCAGATGGTTCCGATTTCTTAAGTTTGCACGCCTGCAAAAAATTTTCTTTTACCATAATACCATCAAAATCTTCTAACGCATTCATGCGTAGCTAATGGTCTTTCGAACATAGCATCGCTAAGATTTCTATCTTCTTTTGAATGTTCTAGCTTATGTCTTCCTTATATGTCTTATCTAGAAATCTTATGCGTGGCTTTGGTCGAACCGCTGCTTCTTTGTGGGGATCGTAAGATTTGTGAAGCAAAATTTTCTGGCACAGCATTATATGATTCTTGATAAAATTATTGAGCAACGAAAGTTGCACAGAATTTCTATCCCTTCTAGCACTCTTAAAAAGGCTGTGGTGTTTCCTTAATTGGCTCTAATGATTACCGTCAACAATTTTTTTAGTGATCGTTTAGCGAAAATTTTAGAACCAAATCTCTTCTAGTTCCGCATTTACTGAAGAAACAGTTTAGCATATTATCTTCTATAACGACTCTTGGTCACTTTTTCTGTTCTCCTTCAACTAAAATGTTTATGTGCAATTAGTGCGGCACAAAGTACGTTTCTACTAATACAAACACAAAACAAATTACAGAGGCGTTAAAAATCACGAATTTGCCTTTTTCGGTGTCAACACTCCCAAACTGTCTTTCGAGATTGACGTCAAGCACTAAGTACACATTGACTTTGTTCTTTATACGAATTACGCAGTGGTCTCCTTGATGGGACACTCATAGGTTTACGTAATGGGTTCATGGAAGACTGCGCTTCCGAGCAACTAAAAAGTTGTTATGGGGCGTGGCTTGTATTTTCCACATAGCAGTAATTTGTTTGTGGATTTTATTTAAATACTCCTTGACCCCAAGCAGTTCAACATAGATGATTTATTTTATGGTTTTCCTCGCCATATGAGCACTCTGCCCAAAAGCTTTGGGCTAGTCATTATCTCACTATTTGAGTTTTATAAGTAACTCTCTGAGGAATTGGAGATGGAGAGTGGGAAAAGCTGCACCACTGATACTTACATTTTTGTACTGAATGATCTCCTTCTTTTATTGTTGATTCTGTAGACAGATGAGGGGATAGGCGATGTGAGTAGTTGGATTTGGATTTGTTATTTCTAGAGAAAAAACTAAATAGTTCCTGTAAGGCCTCGCATTGATCCAGCTTGGAAAATTACATGATGTCTGGAGCAAATTCTAAATATTGAATTTGAGCAGTCGTTTGCATTTATTAGCCTCTCAAAAAAATAACGGCTCTTTTCCACACTTTTTGAAGCCAAGGATACTTTTTTTAAGAGCTGGTGCTGCCAAAATGTTTGAATAAGTCATATAAAATTCTGTAATAATTGCAAGTGGGAGAGACGAGATTTGATTTTCCTTTTTTCTTAAATTCTAATCAAAAGAAAATTACAGCAAGTTCACATAACAAATTTATGTCTCTAATTTACGTATGGCGTGTTTGGGAAATTCGTAAGAATTTTAGCGGCCGAGATGCGCTCCTAAGGACACTCAGATTTCCCTACTTTTTGGCTTAAACTTCACACAGAACGCTAAAGTTTATAATTGTGAATGTCGACTCTTATCTCAGCCTATATGGTATAGGTGTTTATAAGCCAACATACTTTGACATACTTTAAGCTAAGTGTGTCAAAGCTATAGAAACACCTAATGAGTGGCCTCGCTCGTCTCGCCTTGGAAACTGTAAAAAATGATCTCTGATCTATTGTGATTCTTCTTCCCCGTCATTATAACACATCCATAACAGATGCTCTACAGACAGTCACATATTTTTTATATACTTTATAGACAGTCATTACTCAACGAAATACCACATTGCAGACACTGACGAAAATAAAACCAGTTACTGTAAGGTTGTCCTTGTTTAGAAGCAGACAGTGGGCGTTGATTAATCAGTCGAAGAATTTGGAATGAGTCAGTGCGCAATGTTGGTTTGCACTAATTGTGAAATTTTTCCTAAAACGGGTTGTGTAGCCGACGAGATTTATGGGTAGACGAGATACTGCAAAAAAAAACGAACTTTCAGATATTAGCGAGGAGAGCGAAGGTACGACTGCATCTCAGACATCAATGGCGCCTGCTCCACGCGATACGGTGACACCAGGTACCTCGGAAGCGGACGAAGTGGACAAGAATAAGAGCACTTCGCAGGATAAAGGTGAGATTCTGAGATTATGAATTCCTCTGAAATTCAAGGCTGCAGATTTACTTTAAATATCATCAACATCCACATCTAGAATCCAAAACTGCATGTTGATTGTTTTTGATATGTTTTAGCACCAATCTTGCTGGATTGCCTTAATTATGAATTTTTGTGAATATATGAATTTGCTCACACAATATCTTACTGACTTCCCCAAACCATGCCAAGTTTCCGATATACCTGTTGCAGAGACTGCGACAGATGAAATTGCGGAACTGCCCCCAATGATACCGGTACCAGAGGTTGACAGCGAAGAGACCGCGGAAATTCCGAGAAGGTTCGTTTTGTTTCAAAGTTTATGACAAATTTGCATTTTACGACAAGGCAGTAAGATTACGGTAGAGTTACCGTATCCACTATACGGCAAGCTCGATATGTCTGATTGCCTGGGTACTAGTTTAAAGTATCAGATGTGATAATAACGTTGTCGGGAATACGAAATTAGTTGAATCCTAGGAACTGTTGATTATTTTATCTATACCAGTTAGCCAATAAATAACTTGAATAATCCTCGAGGTGAAGTCATAAGGAGCTCTAACTATCAGTGAATAGATTTGTATGTTCATTTTTTGAAGTTCACTAAGGTATTGTTCCAACTAAGTAGCTGCTTAAACCCGTAGAGTACAAAGTTTGTAACAGTTTTCTGTTCAGGTATCTACCCCGAAGCGTTTCCGAATGCGAGAATGATGATAGAGAGAGTCAACGCTCTATACTCCGAAATCCTAACCTATCCAAAATTCGTCCAATGCTCGAGAAACGTCAATCTTTTGATCTACAGCTGGAACGCACAATACCGGACAATAGCAATGAAGATGTTATCGAACGTTATTACCAGAGGAATCAAGCTACAATTAACAGTAAGCTCTTTGTGAATTCAGCAGCTTGAAAATCGATAATCGATTGATTGTCATGTTGAGGTCTGCACGGTCGAAATACGGACACGGTGCGTCGAATGCGAGAGCGACGTCATCCGGTATCATTGGCATCCCGAAGAAGTACACAATCGGAGATGGTTATACCAGGGCCGAATATTCGAGAGAGAAAAAGTGCGTTTCTTGCGTGAACAAGCCTTTTTCAATTTCCGTACCTTCCTGGATCTCCAAAACTATTAATTTTGCCATGAAATAATTACTTAATTTTCCACCATTTGAAATTTTAGATTTCGCCAAATCCTTCTACTGGGTTGCTGCTAACCATAAGAAGATTGGATTTCGGCATATTTGTATGCTACTGCTAGTCCTTGTATACACACTGCTGGGTGCTCTTCTTTTCTACCTGGTTGAGTCACATTATGAGAGAAATGTAAGGAGACATTAGATTTATTTTCCAAAATGATGTCTGCTCAATCAAGTTCTTCAGATCGTCGTGATCCGAAAAAATGCTTTGGATGAAACCATTCTGAAAATAGCTTCTGAAATGACGAATAAGGTCAATGATCCTGATGAGACTGTTAATGTTACGATGATGGAAGATTACATCAAGGTTAGCTTTGCACAATCATTCTAATTGGTAATATTACTGGTATTTTAGCGAGCCTATGTCACACTTCTACAGCAAGAATCTGCTTACAAAGGTAGCACATTCTATAAAGCGGAGGATCCTGAGAACAACTATAAGTGGACTTTCGGAAGCGCATTCTTCTTCTCCATGAATGTGTATACAACGACCGGATATGGTAAGAATGCTTTCAAATGAAGAAAAGGAATAAAATTGCTATGGTCTCGTTTCTTCACACAGAATTTCAACCAGGTTTTCAGAACTATACCATTGTTCAATCGTAACATTGATTGGATTGATCAGTCTACGAAAAGTTTTGCTAACGATAAATGCTAGTGCAAATTTAATGTGAAGCTAGTTTCGCCAACTGAGCGAGCAAAACCTAAATCAAATTAGCAGTTTTTTCGAACATTGACGGCAACTTAGTGGTTTGAGATGAAGAAAAGATGACTGGGAAGGGGGATGAGGGATGACGAGGCACAGGGGGAGCGAAATCAATGCTATTTGCGAGAAATCATTTTGCGATGTTTTCGGAGTGAATGTTTGAGAATTCAAATCTAACTTTTAGGCTCAATCGCTCCAGAGTCTATAGCTGGAAAATCGTGTGTGATGGTCTACGGTCTACTATTTGTGCCTCTGACACTTGTTGTACTTCGAGACCTCGGTCAATGGGCACTTGTGCATACAACGAAAATCTACGCTCGATTGCTGATAATGTTCAGGTGGGAAATGGATTACGGTAGCATCGTAGCATGTTTTGAAGGCTAATTTCTGAAGCTGAAGGCCTGCTCAGCATGCGCCGCATTCAATCCACTTACTCCGCTTGATTCACTTCGCCACTGCTCAAATCAGCTGACCATTAGCGAAGTGGACAGGTGAATCAAGTGGACATCCGCTTCGCTATTGGTCAGTTCACTAATATGACCAATATCGAAGTGGATCAGTGGATCGAGTGCAATAAGTTGGTGCGTGCCTCATGTGGATAATGATTCAGGGATCTTAATCAATTCATTGTCCAAGCAAACTCTCTGATCCATTCGCTGTCAAAAAACACAGGTCTACTCTCGCCTATGTCGTCACTTTAAGGACCAATTAGCGCACTGTATTTGAGGACGCTGATTGGTCCGCGCTGAAGAATACGGTCCGAGGAGACCTCAAAGTTGATTTTGGCGGTTAATTATGAGTGTTGTTACTAAGGCACTGAGACTAGTTTCTCATCAGTCTTCAGATAGAAATTCTCGTTCAGATTTTTTTGTATATTCTTCTGGGTAATAGCTAATTTTGCGATTTCAGAAGGGCCAGAGGACATGAGGAGACGAAAGATGACGAATTGATCAATCTGCCAATAAAGTTCTGCATGGGCATCATGCTGGGTAAGTCTAATTCTAATTTTGTATTTTTGATTTTAGTTGGTATTGGTGCACTAGTCAAATCTCTACTACATGATCTGGTTTGGTTTTTCTTTCAAATTCTTCTGATAAACAAAAAATTGTTTAACTTTATCTGAAACCTTTCGCAAAAACTACTTTTGAGATGTTTAAGCAGTCTGCATAATTTCCAACTAAGAGCTGGTTTCAGGTTATCTGCTCTTTGCAAGTCTATTCATCTACGAATACGATGCATTGTCTGGTCCACCTGATTCTGGCATGGATTTCTTCCATTCCTTCTATTTTTCCTTCATCTCAATGACCACCATTGGTCTCGGAGATATCATGCCCAATAACGTTACGGTAAGTGCTTCTGAGCGACCAATTACGTACTTGCTCGATGTTCTCTCGTGTGAAGCGAAGACCTGAATCGTACAGAGCCATTGGTTTTCAACCTCATCTTCTTTACAAAGCGTCATCATCAGCTAATCTCATTTCTGACATTGATATTGCTGTTCCAGTTCGCACCCATTATCACTCTCCTTTTCTTCTTCGGTATGCCAATCCTCAAGGTCGTCAACAGAAGTACATATATTTGCGTTGAAAACGGTGTTTTCGGTAGGTTTTAAGGATATAAAAAGCAAATTTACTTTACCGTAATCATAACGTTTTTAGGGACTATGACAGTATTAGAGAATCGACTTGATAGTTGCTGGACTGGTGTCCCACCAAATGACGCCGAGGTGTGTTTTTACTGGAATTTTGACATTTAGTTAGCAAATGACATTGTTTTGTTTGGCTCTTTTTCATTTTTTTGAAAAACCTAAGAGCTCCAATTTATTGTACCATGTACAGTCAACATTACTTTACATTCTTATAGGCCCAACCTGTGTCTCCTCGGCCTTCAATACGAAGTCGAAGTCTTCGCGATCCAAACATGGACGATGAATCGTCTTCTGACGATGAGGTATGCGACTCATCTCTGAATCTCCACGTTCCTTACCTTTCCCGAACACTAAAATACCCTTACCCTCTCTTTTCCAGGTTACGCAGACCAATCAAATGCTCAACAATTTCACAATTCGCTCAATTGCCACATTCATGAAATCACAGTCCGATGTTTACGGTGGCGATTTCGGACGAGTTAACCTTAGACGCGGTGATCTGCTACCTCGAAATAATGACAACAGCGATACGGTGCGATCGGTATCGTCAACGGTCCGGCGTGCGGATTCAACGGCTCGTTACTAATCTTGACAGCATCTCAACAATTATTAAAACCCAAACTGGTACCATTGCTGGAGTTTTCCGGGCTTTACGTGTAATTTTTTGGTTATAATTGTGTTATTTCCTTTAATTTTTAATTTGCCATGTTTATCAGTATATATCATAGTGCTAAGAGATTTATTTGCATAGCTTTTCAGTCGTCGCTCGCTACTTCTGGTAAAACTGACGCAGAAAAATCTGCACTTTCGGCCTATGCAGCGCGTGGTTTTGGCATCTAGTACGGCGCTGATAATTGCAGCAAACTTTTTACTACCAACTTTTACAACTTGGATGGTCCCGCCGAGAAAACAGCGCCCTCTATTGGCATGCTGTTTAGATAGCGTCGTTCATTTCTCAGCTGCACCAGATTTCCTTGGTCAGACCTATGGCTCTGAAGCTATCCTCTGTCAAAATTTTTGAGTCTTTAGCTCACGAGGTCTAGGGTTTATAGTGCAGAGTGCAGATACTTATCCAAACACTGTCTCCATCAAGGCCGACTATAGTTTTTCTGTATGGAACCACAGGATTCGCTATAGGAAGTGCACACATTTTTCGCGACTCATCTTTACTGTGGGAGTAGCTAGCATTGGCTGAAAAGACCTGTTGTTAGCGAACTAAGCTGAGAATCTTCTTAAATCCGTTAGTGTTTGGAGGCGTTATGGATTGTAAGATGAATATGCATGTCGCTTTGATCTTGCATGTTGATAATGATAATCTGCTAACACCCTCTCTTGAATCGAATCGCCTCTGAACTATTAAGCTAAGCTTGGATTCGAATGCTTCAAATTCATCTTATTGCCTCGGCTATCAGTGCCTTGTAGATCTTTTTTCTTTTTTTTTACAGATTTGTAAGAGAATTGCTGTGATACCAACGCATAATAATAAAGCAATATGTGCATTAAGCTTTGGTCATGGGTCAGAACAACGCTCACACTTCAGCAAACATTGAATTTGCACTACATTGGCTCATCTAACAATAAGTGATGAAGTAAAAGTCAGCGATATCAGACAGACGGTCCTTAAAACCATCAAACAACAAAAAGCTTGAGCCGAGTACGTGAATAAGTTGTAGCTACAGAAACATCAAATACGGTAAAGATCTCACACATAAAAGACACTCTCAAAAAATCTGTGGCCGTATTCATTAACGAACCCAGTGGGTTCCGGAACCCACTGGGTAGGCTCAACCTACGAAACCGGTATTCACGAAGCTAGTGGAGGTAGCTAGGTTAGCGAACCCAGCAGCGCTTGTGATGAATATCGATCCTAGCCTGTGGGTTCGCGAAATCACGAGATCGCGAACCCACTTGGTTGCGGGACCCTTGGGTTCGTTATGAATACGGTCACTGAACTCAATAAAATTCGAAAATACCATTGCGGAAATCTCGTGTAACTTGATAAGAAGCGCAAGTGCGCAACATTCGCTCTGGGGTATATAGTCGTCCTCTCCCCACTAGTCGACTCAGTGGACGAATTCGAATTGAAACTGGAGCAGGCCGATCGCGGCAAAGCGCGGCACTCGAACCCTCAGTCCAGAACTACGCATAATTCTTTTTGGTTTTTTTACATTGTTCCTTGCTGATTTATGTACTATTCCAATATTTCTATCAAATTTGCGTTTTGTTATTGTTGAGTGTTGTTTCGCGCAGTTGAGCTCGGTCTTTGTAATTTCATTCAAGCGTCTAGAAACGATGCAGATGGGAGTTTTTGTGACATTGATCACTAAAGCAACACTTTTGCACGTGTCAGTTACAGGAAAGATTTGCAGCAGAGGTTTCCCATCTGTATTGTTTCTGTAATAAGTAACGAGCATACAGTACAAAACAATGCTCAAGAACAATAAATTAGTATTAGGCTGGAAACTAAGTTTTGCAAGTGGTTTCATAACCTCACTCTCGTTGGATATGGCGCACTCAAACTTTGGCATTATGTAGAAGGCAATATGAACTACAAGCGAGCACAAATTGTTCAAATTTGAACACGAAATAGGAAAGTTTCAAGCGTTTTTCGAAAACTAGTAAAATTTGGGAATTTTTGGGGTTTCAAGCTAAAATGAAGCCTTTGGCAGCCTAGACTATGCGCAGTAATCCGTATTCGTCTACGAATTATTGCTGGAGTTGACTCCTTTGGCCTATCAAGAAAGAAACAAAATTTAGGGGCATGTCGAGATTTGGCGTCCTCACAAAGTCGAACGAATCGATTTACGCAAGAGCTACTGGGGACGATCGTCAATGACTAAAGAGTCCGAAGCTCAAATTCCGATGAGACTTTACATATAAGGTTATTTGACCTGCCAAACACGAATAACACGAATATTTGCTGAATCAACGCCTTTCTCCTTGTTTAGTGTGAGACCCCATATCGTACACCAACAGTAATCCTACAAAAAAGCCCTTATCGCGCAATTTCACTATCGTTTTCGTGACCAGCATGTCGGGTAACACCCTTATGCCAAGTTTCAACCAAATCCGTCAAACTTTGAATTTTTTCCCCTTCATACCATGCACCTACCGCAACCCTCACTGCGACGTCAGAATTTGGTAGGACAGCAGCTGCACTTGTAGCTTACGTAATAACCAACGCAGTGGCAAAATTTGAGTGCGCCATGTTGAGTGAGAGGGAAGTTATGAGATCAGTTGCAAACTTAGTTTCCAACCTAATATTTTGAAAACGAACATACTTGTAGCACGAAGATTGACAAACAACTACAGTAAAAGAACTATAAAAAACATGCGCAAAAACCGAACTGAGGGTTTAGGTGTCCCGCTCCGTCGCCACTGGTCTGCTCTTGTTCGAAATCGAATCCGTCCACTGACCGACTAGTGGGGTGAGGACGACTATATAAATCAGCTCTAAGACGGAGCAGTGCAAAAAGGCCTACACTGTTTGCGCATGAAATTTTTTCCATTTTCTTTTCATTTCTTGCTGTTCTCCTCCTAATTTGGTAGATTGTGTGTCATTTTCTATAGAACGAAACAAACACAGTTCCCGGAAAATTTAGAGCTTTTTGAATAAGAATAGCATAAAAACACGCCCTTAAAATTACTACACAATAAAGATAAGTAGATATCTAATTATCCTCATCGGTTATACAATAAACAACCGAAATGATTCTATCTAAGTCTTCAAAGGCAGTAGGTCATCTTCACCGACAAAGATCCATTCTTTTTTGCGCCACTCACGCATTTGTTGGTGACGTCGCGATCTTACTACATGACTTGGTTTTTACTGCCAGATGGACACCAAATAGCACATGCTTTGTGTTTTATAACATTGAGGTAATTAAATTTTTAAAGAAGATATATTTAATCATTGCATGGATTGTTATTAGCGTCTTATTAGCGAAAAGTTGAAGGCGTAAAGCCCATGAAAATACAGCGGACAGCAAAGCAAATATGCAGGTCAGTTTTCTAGCAAAATAGTCAAACTCTATAAGTGGTAACTCCAAACAGCTAAAAAAAAACTCAACGCATTTTATCTGGTACTCCATGTGGACCTGCATAACATTGGACTGGAGCTTCAACTTGGTGATGGCCGGAGAAAACGACCCCTTGACTGTCTCCTTATTCTCGTTTAAGGAAGATGCGTGGACTATTCATGGGATTCTTCCTTATTTTGTCCTGCTCACAAGGGAATGGTCAGAAGTCGAAGTGGCCAGTCCATACAAGTTGCATACCATTAGATGCAGCATAGAACGCTGACTTTGAATCTGTCTTCCTCTTTTGCAGAGCGCTTTTGTAAACGAAATTATAAGCCGTTAAAGGTCATTACTTTGCTAAGAAATTGTATGTATAAATTGCAAACTTTGCCGTACAAAGCCATTCTTGGCTCAGTGTGAGACCAAAACATGCAACTAGGTCACTTCATATCACCCGTACCTAGAGATGAGCTGAAAGAGCAATAATGTGCCTAATTTCGCAATTTTTGTATACGATTTTTTCGCAGTAAAGTTGCTCATAACTTCGCCTACAAAGGCGGTCTGCAGATATGGAAGACAGTTTTAAAATCAGCATTTTATGCTGCATCGAATGGTATGCAGCTTGTATTAATTGGCCACTTCGACTTCTGACCATTCCCTTGTCAAAGCTAAAAATTTCGACCATTCGCGGGAAAGTAGGAGAGAAATTATTATTTAAGACACAAAGCACACCACAACACACTTCTGCTCAAGTTACTTGCCCGAGCATGGCAGCATAGAACAAGTCTAGCAATAACGAAATTGTCAGTCAAGAACGTGGTATAGGAATTAGCAAAAATGTTTGAAAAAAAAAACAGAAATTTATGCGCAAACTTCAGAAAACTGAGGGTGCTGTTAACGCTCTACGCCTGTTCACATTCAAACAAAATTTTCAGCTAGATATCTAGCGGGATAAAGATGATCATAGGGACCGTGTGGTTTGCAACTTCCTTGAGGCAGCCGCCATAGCGCTACGAGTTAAGGTTTATTATGAAGGACGACTCCGCCATTTTCACTCACAGACGAAAAAGCGAGTCTCTGTTTTCACTATGATTCTACCACAAAAAATAACTTTTTTGAACACAAAAATCAGATTTACAGGCACAGGTAATACATTACAGAGAATGAGTATCTGAACACAATTATGCAGGTCCCTGATTGATACTGGTTTTTGACTGCACAAGATCTCCCTTGCGCAGATTTACCCGTCCAAAGCCACCGCCATAGACATCAGCATTTGCTCGAGCAAATTGTCCCAATGAGCGTATGGTGAGGTTATTGAGAAGTGCAGTTGTCTTGTCCTAAATTCCACTAGCGATTTAATCATGGGGATAAAATTACAAAAGAAATCACCTGTTCCAGATCATCTTCCATATTGATATGAGAGCAGTAACTGCATCGACTGATTGTACGTACACGTGGTCGCTGTGCCTTAATGAGGAAAATAGGTTTTTTGTGAAATTTTGAAGTTTCAGTGGGCTTACAAACGACTCCTTCGGTTGTATCTTGGTCGAGACGTTATCAATGGTTGTCTCAAGCAATGTGAATGCACCTTAATCGCAAATATTTAGAAAAAAAATATTGCGATTGTTGTAAGAGATTTTAGCCACATTTTTTAGCTGCAGCAATTTTTCTAAATGTTAACGAGGAGTTGCTTAAGAATAAACTTCTGCCAAAGTTCAGTCCCCGGTTTTACCTGGAGAATCTTGATCTTCAGTTATTAATAAGTGCTTTTGCTTCCTGATATGAACAGTCAGCTGTTTCTGAGTGTACGACACTCTCTATACAGTACTTTACTAAAGGTGCATCTGAAGTGTAGTAAGATAAGTAAGGAAATTTCCCTGGGCGTATTTTCGTTTATCGACCCCTGGTACCCCATCATGTGATTTAGTCAGCCAAACTTTGCAACAAATTTGCAAAAAGTTCGCACAAATAGGGTAATTAAATATGATAACATGGAGCGAACTTTACTCAACATTCATAATAATATCATATACGCTGCACATCACTCTAAATTCCCACTTTTCATGTGAAATTATGCTAAAGTAGGACAAATTTGGGGGCGTAATCAAGCGAGGACTTACCAAAGATACCATTTTCAATGCAGACATATGTTGCCCGGTTGACAACCTTCATTATAGGCATGCCAAAGAAGAAGAGTGCTGAGATGAGGGGATGGAACTAAAAATATGGGGTGTTTATTAACTTTCATCAGTAGAGGACGTTGCAACTTACGGGAGCGTTGTTGGGCATAATATCGCCAAGTCCAATCGTAGAAATAGAGATGAACGAGAAATAAAATGAAATAAAGAACGAGAGACCAGTATTTGGGACGTCACCGTACCAATCGTCAAATTTGTAGACGAAAATGGCAGAAAAAAGTAGGTAACCTACAATATTCAATTATAGATAACGATAGATCGATGAAAAGAAAGTTACCCGCTAAAAGGCTGAGACAAAATTTTATAGGTAAAGAAATCATAGAATCATCATGTGGCTCATCGTAGCCCATAGATCTTCTGTAAAATAAAATTATTTACTAGTTTGAAACAAGCAGAACAGGTTTTCCTTCTCCGTCATAACCGCCATTTAAGAAATGTTCCAAGCAATTTTTTTTGCCTTCAATCTTCCTACTTTTCTTTTGATAAGAATATCAATTTTCCTCTTTACTGCGGCTGTGTAAAGTAGAATCAAATGGGTGCCGCATGAACTTGAGTTTGAAAAAGCGTCATTGTCAACCCATAGAAAAAAATCTAGTGCGTTAGCAATATAAGTCCGTTTATAAAATATGAACTGTAATCTCTTGCAGCTACACAAATCCTCTCGAATGTGACGAATAGAAAAAGGTGACAAAACTTTTTTACCTATATAGTACTAAAACATGTGCGTAGAACTTCGTCAGGATCACCAACGTCCATTGACCAAGGTCTCGAAGAACGACCAAAGTTACAGGTATAGCAATCAAAGAGTAGATAATTACGCACAATCGTCCCATATTAGAATCTGGCGCAATAGAACCTGAATGTTGTCTCATACAGATCTCTATATCTATAAGGCAGAAAATCCGTGTCTCTTTGTGCACATATCATGTATGTAATTATAGACTGCGTTGTGCGTGTCCACTTGAGCTGAAACTTTGCACACATATGTTATCGAAATCGTGGACCATTATGGACTACTTTTTAAGGCGATTTACTGGGCAGCTTTATCGATTTATCGATTTGTTTACTTATATCCAGAAAAATGAAAGCTTATTATGTTATGACATATTTACCATCGCCATGTAAGACGAGCGGTAGCTGACTATTGAGGAGGATGCGGTGACTCAAAAAGTCATGCAGCAGGTAAGCGTATTCTACAGTTTGCACCCATATGGACCCATTGTCGCGTCTCGCGATGCAAGGCGCTCTTCGAAGCATGGAGGCCGAGGGCATCGGTTACCGCGCTATCCGGCGACGATTACGGTAGCCAAGACGCGTGTTGCCGCGATCGTTTCCTGACCTCTCTTTCATTGGCTCATTGCCAGCCGGGGAGCTGTATATAGCGGCGACGCCTCAGTCGAGTGCCCTTGTTCGTCTTCGTTTTTTATCGATTGTTTTCATTTCTTGTTTAAGTGTATTTCAGCCGCTTAGGCTCCTGTCCTTTCTTGTAAGAGCAGTTGAGCCGGATGTTCTTTGGATTGGGAAACGGATTTTTTTTGTAGCGCATTTCTATTACTGATCGGATTCGTATGTCAAGTTGAAAATTTCAACATCTACAGGAGCTGGAGGAGATGTGCCGCCGTTATAACCTGGGTGTTGCGCGGTGGATTTGTTGCGCAAACCCTTGCGAGCCACACCTATTCTAGATTACTTCCACAGACACGCATCGGTAGCATGGGACGGGCGCGCGTCCCGTGTTTTATTGTTTTTAGTTTAGTGCTCCTTTTTGTCTATTTTGACTGTAGTGTGTTGTCATAAGGATGAATTAATTAATCAATCTCATACTTCTTTCCGTCGCGCGTTAGATGCGCAATAGGATAGATACGTCGCTTAGCATCGCGAGCATCTGGCCTCGGCTTAGATCTAGGTGCAAGAGCCCACCAAGTCGCCACGCCCATTGAGACTTTCGCCCGGGTAAGGCCGGGATGTCAGCTAGTGTCACATATCCACATAAAAAAATTTCATAGAGCGTCTCAGATGCCAATGTTGCAATTAGTAATTCCACAGAAAGATTCCAAGTTCGACAAGGCAAAAAAAACTAGGCAGAGATTGTAGCAAAAATAGAATTGCTGCAGGCATTTGGAAATCACAGAAAATTTCAGTTTACATGATTCAAGTATTGCGAACTATAATTGAAAAGTGAGTGTAAAGAGGTTCAACTGGATGAAAGAACCGACTTTGAGAAGGTTTTAGAAGTCTCACCATATCCTGTTGTCGTGTAGAGATTCATGGAGAAAAATATGGCACTAGCAAATGTCCACTTATAGTTAGCCGAATCGTTCTTCTTATGGTAAGTGCTACCAGCATAGAGATCCTCTTCTTTGAGGAGAGTTATGTAAGCTGCCTAAAGAATATTCTAAGTTATTACTTTCCAAAATCGTTCAGTTGTGAATCAAATTACCCTAACAAAATCATGCACTTTATGTAATTCAAGATTTCCGCTTTCATTACTAAATCGTAGAAGCTCTTCCGCTATGATTTCAACTTGAGCATCAAGAGCAACTTGCCGCCGAACGATAGTCTGGAATTTTTTCTGTAAATAACGCCTTTAGAAGAAGGAAAGGCAGACCTGCTGCTCGTATTTGCTCTCTAACTCGAAAAATATAAGTGCTCCTAATAGTGTGTAGCTCAGTACAAGCAATAACATGCATATGTGACGAAATCCGAATCTACTCCGATTGTGTAACATCCAGTAAATGGAGTTGTGAAATTCTAAACGAAATTACTTCCTGTATAAAAACTTGTCGCAGTGCAGTACTGCTTCTTGCAGTCATTGCTTACATAGGTACCACTTACTTCTGCTTTCTTTTCCCAGAAAACTCGCCTACACTTTCCATTCATATAGAATTCACAATGAAAAGGACCTCTTGTGATTGATTTGGGCTTGTAACACTGCAGACAAGATGGCTGACTTAGGTAAAGGAGGTTACTGATGAAATACGCGTAGGATCATGGATTTCCTATAGAGTTAGAGCAGCGAGTTTATGCCACTCATCTTATATATAAAGCTGAATGTCTGTTTGTATGTATGTCTGTGTGTACGTATGTTCCGAATAGAAATTTTTATTTCTGAACCGATCCGGACCAAACTTGGCACACATACACTTCGGGCCCTGGCGGGTGTCATAGGCTACTTTTCGTCATCGATCGATATCGATTTTATCGATTTTTTGCAAAATTTGAGCTACGGGGCTGGGAGTTGGCACAGGGGGATCGAGCATGCTAATTACGAATACAATAATGACAGGGCCGGGCGGAGCCGGGTAAGTCAACTAGTTCGTAAATAAGCAGAATAAGGAAGTAAAAGTATGAACTTGAGATTTGCTCTCAAGAAATACTTCACGGAAAGATCGCTATTTAAAGTAAGCTTAGCACATCGACCGAAGACTGGCAGTCCCTTTGAAAGAAACTCACGAAACAGTTTGAATTACGATTTACACAGCGGTATCTCGAACTTCGACATAAGAATGTTAGAGAATCGAAATTCAAATCAGCTGTAGCATGCTGATGTCACCAGTCTGTTTTATTCCCAATTAGGCCAAAATTGGCATGGCGGGAGTCCGCTTCGCTAGATTTTCGCGTCATGCCTACGGTCTCCTCGTCTGCTCTCTCTCTTCAATATCTCCGCCCTCTCCAACAGTCTGCATATATAGCGCAAACTCTCAGCGCTGCGAGCGCAAATTGACGCTAAAGTTTCGGCCTGATCCCTTGAGACAAACTGTATCCGTAGCGCGACATAATTATACATTATTGCATAGTTTCGCTTGTCTAATGGAAGTAGGTTCATGGCGCAAGCATCTTGCCAAGTTTGTTGGGCTGATTTGCGGATCTGGTTCAAGCAGCTTTATACTCTCCTCCACCTCAAATTTCAAGCTAAAGTTTAAGAGATTCAAGATGCTTAGAAAGTTCATATCTTTGCTCTAGAAATCCACGGATCTTACTCGATCACGCGTGCAATAAAAACCTCTTTCTTGTAAGAAATTAAGGAAACAAAAATTTTATGCTTTTTAAAGCGATGCCTGGCTCCACATTAGTATGTAGTACACTACAAATGTAAAAAAAAAGAATCTATAGTTTTCCAATTTTCTACATCCAGTTTTTGAGGTAATTTGATTCAGCTTTCTGTACTAGCAAGTATTTCAATAAAACTAGGTAATATTTTTTTGGAAGTTAGAGTTTATGAGGAGCTACAATTCGCGGTTGTATCAGGTGCAGCATGCGATTACTTTTGTAGCAATAGCATATCATCTCTTTGACAGAAGCGTAAATATTCTTGTTTTTTACGGGAAAATACTGAAAGCGTGCTTAATTCGGTCTGATGTGGAGTGCATTTTCGTGAGCTAGTGGGGTTTCACAAATTTTTTTCAAAAGAAGATAATTTTTTTCAATTTTTCGAGCATCCGGAACTTTTCGCATTTTGCCTTGAAACTTGAGGGATCGAGGCTGGTGCGGATTTGTACATGCCACCTTGTGCATCTTACTTTGCTTCAACGGATGGCATCTTGAAACCTACTAGAAAATAAGAAATGTGCATTTCTGCGTAAAAAGTCAAAGGAAGCTTATGCCACTGATCAAAAACGGAAACCAAAGCTGTCAAACTTACTTCTGCTTGTAGGCACAACGTCAGCTGGTGCTATAATGGTTTCCTTTTTGTGAATGGAGCCGACATCTCCATTTTTTCTAGCTGGTTCTGAGAGTTCGTTAGAACCGTCGTTCAAGCTTTCAAAGCTTTTCTCTGAACGTAAGCTTACTCGTACATGTCTTGTTCCACAGTCAAAGTTCAAAGTTTACCGGAAGTTGTCGAAAGCTGGTGCCTTTCATAATAGTCATTGACAGCTTTCTCCTTATCAGACTTGACGATTGTGGGCGAGGAAACATTGTCTCTAGCTTTTCCTTTCATTGGACTACGTCGTTCGTATGCCCGATCTTTCGCTGTACCAACGAAGGAAGAGCTTTTTCGGGGACGCCCTTCTGAGAAGCTATGTGAACGAAATTTCCTGAAAAATCGCTGTGTGCCATACAGAGAGAAACAAATTTTATCTGTTACTTACAGAAATTTGCGGCCCGTTTCCGGTGTTTTGTTGATAATTCTTCCCACTCTCCGATTGGGATTGGTGAAAGTGTGATATACGCTGTCCAATCCATTGTTATATGGTTCAGCATCTGATAAGTGGATGGAGTTTCATGTAATTTTGTGATATTCACAAGCATTCAAGTGTCATCTTCTAAATCACTTGAAAAAGCACGATCATCAACTGCGATTTTTGTCTGTAGCCAAATTGACTTGATTTGCAGGTGTAAATAGGTTCTAAGAGTAAAAATCATAAATATCGTTCTCTAACCAAAAATAGCTCCTCTATAGAACAATGCTCTATATGTCATTGCGGTTAAGCGCCGACTGCAACAAATCACATCTGGCACCTTATGAATCCCCCGCTGGTCCCAACGTAAGGTTAGGAGTACGAGGGCCCGCTTGAGAGCAATGAGCAGCACTTTGTATTCTAAACTCTGCTGCCAGCTTTGTTATTCGACAAAAGTGAGTTTACTTCGAAAAGCCGCCCTTCGAAATCTTGGAGATTGGCCAATTGTGGAACGCGGGCAGTCATATTGTTTGACCCATGTATTCACGATTACTGCTTCTTTCACCAGTGCAAATGTGCAGTGTGATAGAGCAAACTTTTGGCCGCATAAAACGAACATTTTTTTAGCAATATTTAGAAAAAAATTGGAATTTTAAGTAGAGGCGAGATTGGGAGAGAAAAATCATAATCTAAAAGGTACTGAAATTGCTCCATCGGTAAAATTTAATTAGATGCTTATGTAGAAGACTTATGAAAAGAATTCAGCCCAGAACTCAGTATCTGCTACGCTCCTCTAGCTTTCGAATCTATTTTGAAGACAAATGGCCACTGGCAGCTAGTACTATTCGCAAATATCGGGTAAAGGGACTCCACATCTGACGAAAGGGAGATTTCCAAGAGATCTTAGTTGCATTCGATGCAGCATTTCATCCTCTTTCTAATGGTTATGAAATTGTTGCAACATAGTCAATGAGCTTTCAGAAAATGCCCAAAATTTGTGACCTACGCTTTTTGAGATAGTCAAGTTTCACAATATTTTGAAACTTGCATATCAACCCTCAGAAGGAGCTCAAGCAACGATTCGATAGAGCAAACCTTATAGAAGACGACACAACTTTTTTCTTTTTTCATAGTTCGCCGTAATTTTTTTAAAGGTTTTTGAAAAAAACCATCGGATTTTGGCCTACATCAGCCACATCGCATCAAACATCATTCTAATCATTCGGGATTTGAGACTACCAAGATGGTAATATGAGTTACCACTAATCATAAAAAGCAAGTGAGAATTTACAAAATTGAAATATTAAATTTCGAGTTTTTCTGGTACAGCCTGGGGTTCCTTTAAAAAATGAATTGTGATGATTTTGTCCCCGAAGACTAAATGAATCGGAAACAAAAATCACTCATTAGAAAGAGGAGAAAATGCTGCATCGAATAGTGCCCGAGCTGCTCTTTCTTTGATGTTTTTCGAGGATTTAGCTGTCCAAATATGAAAATCGGTAGCGTCAGTTAAGATTTCGTTAAAATGTATGGCAAGCTGTGGAAAGAAGAAAAAAACTGTTTAGCATTCTGTAGGGTTTTTATAGATGCGTTACTTTTGCTTCTTCGGAAGGTTGATATAAAAGTTTAGAAAAATTGTGAAACTTGACCATCTCAAAAAGCATAGGTCGCAGATTTTAATTATTTTCTGACAGCTCATTAAATATATTGCAACAGTTTCATAACCATTAGAAAGAGGATAAAATGCTGAGTCGAACGCTACCAAGATCTCTTAGAAATCCTTGTTCCATCAAATGTGGCGCCCATTTGAAAAAAGCGAAATTACTTTTGGAAAGACCTAATATATATTTTGTGTTTTTGAAAGAATAGTTTCTGGCAAACGCAACTAGTACGATGTGATAGCGCAAAGCCTCCTTATGTATGCATCAAAGCTTTAGCAAAGAAACCATCTGTGAATACAAAATTTTTGATTTTTCGCCCTGCAGAAGCACTTGTTTGATGGATCAATTCTTACAAAAACATATGGCAAACATTTTTAGCTAGAAAAAACGTTATTTGCAGAGGATCGCGACATTATGTGGCACAAATTTGGAAACGAAATCATCACTAATTTTTAATCTACAACACTGCAAACTCGTCTCCCAGACTTTTGCTTCACCATGTAGAGCCTATTTTGCTCTATCAGAGAGTAATCCGAATTGCATTCAATAAAGGAGAAAAACAGCAAACTAATTTTTTGGTGGAGTCGAAAAAATCTACAATGCAACCTGATACAAAATAATATAATACTAGCTCGATCCACTTATAACTTAGAATATCTATCTTGTCAACAAATTCCAGAGATTTCAATTTTGTAAACTAAGAAATAAGGACTAACGTCTTGCCTGAAAATTCGATCCATATTGCGGGTAAAGATTTGTGATGTGTTGTGTAATGCATAAGGGGAAACGATAACTATGCTAGGCGGAAATGGATCGCTGCTATTGAACGAATCTCTCTCTCACCTTCGAACTTGTCGACAACTATGGCTGATGACGGCCGTATCAGTGATGGATGCTTCAACGAGGTCTAGGAACATAGTTAAGTCCAGCCTGCCTTTCTACTGGGAGAAAAAAACTTCTGTTCACCTTTTTGTGGTCTAATTTTACATCATCCTCTTCCGGCATCCTGATTATTCCGAAAGTTTAAGCGATATACTCTGAAAGCTGAACACTGGTTAGAACGTATCAATAAATAGAAGTCACATTCCGAATTAGACAAAGTCAAAGTCAATCGCAAATAAACGACAACGATCCTTTTTCATACGATAATTACACTTTGCCCTTATCAATCTTGCAGATGAAGAAGAAATTCGACAAAAACATACTACTCATGAATACAATAATCGTAGCTTTTCAAAGATTCTTGGAAGTGATCAAACACAAGCGCCAATTGGATTTGAACTCGTGATAAAGCATAATTTTCTGTTCGTTTTTTTCAAAACAATGCATCTGGAAGATTTGCTTGTGCGGAGGTGAAAAGTTAAGGCAAAACTACCTTTACTTATTCAGTTTCAAGTATGAGTCTTTCAGACATGTTTTAGCCACCATCCCAAGGAAGCTGATTTCAAAGATAAGGAAAAGAATATTTTTGAAAATTCTTGATAAGCGAGGGCTAGAAGTTTGTCGAAAGCAGAGAATCGAAATCACTTGTGCAGTCTGTCTCTTCACGGAATTATGGAGTGGAAATTTGGAGAACGCCTCTTCTTCGGCATTGTAAAAGACCTGAATTATGACTTCGCGTATGTTTTCCATGAACGTTATGGTTTTGAACCTCCCTGGACAATTTCAGAAGAAGAGTATTTAAATCAAAACAAGACTTGCCTTCAAAACTGTAAAGAAAATGATGTCATGCTTTGAATTAATATTTAGCCTCCGATTAATGATGGTAATAACTTTCTTTCGGATGTATGACAACATACACAACAAAACTTCACGTTGGATGCAGTTTTGAGACGTGTGACTGAATGTTAATGCAAAGAGACAATTCAACGCTGTTTGTGAAATTGCTTCATCGAAAATATATGCCAAAAAATGTGACCCGACTATCGTCATGCTTCAAACATTTTGATATTTCAGTTTAGCTAAAACAATTTGCATTTGGTCCCGCAACCCAATAACACAAAATTTCAATCAGTAAAAGTCACGAAGGTGGAAAATTTTCAAATACTGTGCATTGTAGCCGTAATGACAGGATGCCCTCAGAAGCAAAACTGAATGTGATTTCAAGATATGCAGATAGATTTCAACACAGCACGTTATGGAAAGGTTTACAACTGAAGAAACTGATTTCGTCACACAATTTTATGAAAGTGATGTGAAATATTGGGAAACTGAAAAGGTCAATAATTGAACTTTACGCAAGGTGGGTGAAAAGACATGTATTGTGATGAATGATAGTATCAAAGACTTCAGCGCAAATCAGACAAACAAGTAATAGTGTTGGAAAACGGATTAGTTTGAACAGCATCTGCTATGAAGAATCTTCAACAGTTGCGATAACATAAGCTATATTTCGGGTAGTAGGTTAGCCTTATACCTCTTTGTAAAAACTGGTAGAATTTTCAAAAATTTGATATAATAATCTTGGAAACGGCTGTCCATTCCTTTGTGAACTGCTAGGATTATTTGAGTATTAACGGAGAAAACAAGGTCTTACCAAATACTGGATTGTCTAAGTTAAGTCCACCCATAAAATCCTCAATGGTACATTTTCGTATTAAGCCCACCCATAAAAACCGTAATGGTACAGTTTTACGTGAGTGTAGGGCTATTTTGGCATGCGCCGGAGATTCATGATAGATAGACCTTCTAACAAAGAAAAGGGTAAAATAACAATAAAGGGCAGCACGCAACATTGGAACAGTCGACCACATTTAACTGACCACGTAGAATCTCGTATTGTAACACCAAGATCTTACCTTTAGTAAGTCTCAAACGGAATAATAATCATCTAGCTGGTCATTTGGAGGGATAACGTGTTTCAAAAAACCAGGTCTTCTTATTATGGTGACAAACGAAATGAGGCGAAATAGTGCTTCTCTTGGCATGCCATTGCATACTTTCTCAGCAGCAGCAATTCGCAGAGGCTACGACTAGCAGTGGTCTTCGTTTTCATTCATCTACCGAAATCTCCTTGAACCAGACCCAGCCTTGTTTTCGAGTTCGTATCTTGCGCATTTTCCGCCTTTGCAACAACAGTTATGTCGCGGATCACTCTCGCCTTCACTGTTCAATCATTTGCGGGCGGAGTCACCAACAGTTTTGATTTTATTCCTTTTTCGCAGTTTCTAGCAGTTTCTTAAGCGTAAACTTTACGCCTGTGGGCGTTAAAGTTTTCGCTCTTTTGCGCGCGATGCCAGCGAACGCACCATACTAATTCCGACTGCGTGCGTAAGTAGAAGGCCACGCCACCGCTCAAAGGCACAGTCCACCCAAAATGTGATTCTGCCAAAATGGGGTCGATGAGAATTTGTTACCTGACAGTAGCGGGGCCCCAACTGTAAACTTGCCCAACTCGCACTGTCAAGAGTTGCTTCGAAAAAAAAAATGCTTTGAAAATCGCTTCGAATGACGGGTTCGCCACGTTGGCTCTTCTTCTTTGAGTGGGCATGACGTTCGTCCCGCCCATTCGTGCGCACCTAACCAATTACCGTTACGGAGAATTCGCCCTGCGGGCTCTACGGAACGGGGATTGTCGCAGTATTCGCAGATCCTCGACTTGATATTCAAAAGCACGAACATGAGAATTCCGGCGGAACGGCAAAAAAAACGGAAGCCGAGAATCTGTGTACCGAGCATTTGAGTGCAAGGACATAAGGCGAAGCCGAGAGAAGAACTGGACCGGGTGGAATTTGAGGATTAACGGTATGGCTATTCTCTTACAGCTAGAGTACGTGTAAATTTCAGTCAGATTAGTGGCGTCCAAGAGAAACTCTGCTTCTTTGTTTTGACGAGATTTGGTCTGTGTATAAACTAAAGGCTTCAGAAAACCCTGTGACATCTGTACTTACTCTGAAATGCAGTTTCCAAGATCGGCGCAACAAACGTAGATAAAATATACAAAAATTCGGTATCCCGGAAACTGCGGTCAGTCTGGACTCTCTGACTTCAAGTAGTGCAAAAATTCACCACTTAAGACATACTATAGAATTTAACAAGTTGTCTGAACAAGAAAGCAAATTGGAACCATACTTGAATACGCGAGGCTATTCCAGATATTATCCTTAGCTGGGTTCGATTGTTGCGCAATATCTATTTGTTCCGCCGTCTTTTGAGTCGAGTGTTACAAGCAATTTTCTTATAATGTCCTTTTCCATCGCTCATGCATTCTTCTTCTATTACACATGCCCTTCAGTGATCGCAACGGAACGACGAAAGTATCTACCACTAAATGTCATCATGGAGACATGCATAATTTCCATAGGCTAGAGCCGCTAACAAAAATGCTTATTTGAGTAAAAGCATGGGAAACAGTTTACATTTACATCTAGTTTGCTTCAGCTATGATAACTCTGAAGCGTGTGTTCATAAATACGAACGCTCAAGGAAGGCATCATCTTGTTTATACGATATCATTCGGCATGGAAGTCCTTTTGAGAGGGCCGATACTAATAGAGATGTCATTTGAGGGAGTTCAATGCTGTTTCTGCAGATCTACTCTACAGACAATTTCTTATTGCGAGAAACGTCAGAAATGTGAACCTCCACACACTTATTCAAGCAATTTTGAAGTTCTGATGTCTCACTATCATTCATGCAACTTCACCAATTTTACCATATAAACTGCATGTCAAACTCTCTCATGCAAAGTTTCTGCAAGGCTGAGATTTACCAAAGGAATAATGGAGTGATTAGACTGCAGTGCTAATGGTGAGATGACAAAATTACATGTTCCTTACTGACAGGCTTGAGGAAGGCGAATAAGTCAAATGTTAACAGAATAAAGTTGATGTCGGTCTGACTAAAACAACTGAAAGAAGAACAAACCTAAGTGGAAACTTTGATATACGGTCTAAATAGCACGAAGAAAAGAGGAGAACCGGTAAGACACAGTTTAGTGTGAAAGGTAAGGATCCAAGGTGATTACGTACTTGACCATTGCTTGGAAACTAACCGCTGTTTTTATTCATATTTTTGTTCATGGTCTGTCATAAAGCGAAACACCTTGATGAACCGGTTATGATTGTTGCACAACGTTCTATGATATAACAAATTGCCCTCACTTATCAGCCCTTTCTGGTCTTTTTCAATCGAAATCGGTGTGTTTTGAAATACACGAATGGTAGAGCTTAATCAGTTCAACTCCAAATTAAACAGTGCATTGGAAGCTCACAGATGTGAAGCACAAACGAATCTTTAAATAAGAATCGCGAATGAATAGTTGCAAAAAGTACTAAATTGTAAGCAAGAGAATTAGGAACGGCTACTACAAGTTCATTACTTTTTTCTTCTAGTTGCTCTGGTCCGTTTTGGATTACACATATTTGTGGTCTGGTTATCTATGTCGGTCCTCTCAGTACGTCAGCAATTGGTTATAGGTATCGTGGTATCAGTAAAGCATGTTACCATGTTTAACCTGGTCTCCGGGGTTTTAGGCTCTCCCAAGCAGACTGGTTGGGAGAGGCCCATCACATCTGCCAGCGCCCTTGCTTCCGATTTGCTTTCAAAGGACATTATTTGGATCCTTTCGCTGGGAAGTAAAGGGCATGGGTCCACCTCGGCATGGGTCCATAGAGTTAGTTCATGCTTGACATCAGTAATTGTATAGCACCGTGGTGTCAATGGGACAGATTACGATTCGATATAGATGAAAACTGCACTTTGACTGATGGGATGAACTGTTCCTCTAGATTAATTCATTGTGGTATAGTCGTCCTCCTTCCACTAAAGACCTAGTGGATGATTCGAATTTGAATTAAAGCACGCCGGTTGCGGCAGAGCGCGGCACCATCGATTCTATTCCAAGCTCATATAACCTTTGATTCAACTGGCTTGGCACCATTGGGGCGGGGTTTTGCGATCTAATTGAAGCCGCTCGCGCCCGCGACGCACCTGCGTCTCTCTCGCGCGAGTGCTCTCTGATCACTACCTAGCCTTAATTAGGTCACGAAGCCCCGCCTTTGCCGATGCCAAGCCAGTTGAATCAAATGTATTCTTTTG